TTTTGTCCAAGGATTTTTACTTTCTTCACTTTGAAGGTTTGTTTATCCAATATGGGTAAAAAACCATAAAAATATCTTTAGATTTGTTATACGTGAAAGCCCTAACACTAGTTTGTGATTTTCTTTAGATTTCATGATTGCAAAGTGAAACATAAAATCTTTACAAATACTGTTTTCCCGTGTATGTTATATTTTTCAAATGATAGTATATTAATCGATGTTTCATAATCCAATTGAGTTTGAATTAAATTAATTCATGATTTAGGAGCTTTAAGTCATACTTTTAAATGTTTGTATATTTGCTCGTTTAAATTTTCCATGTCAATACGATTTTTTTTAAATGAATCCAACAGGCTAGCTTTTTAGCAAAAATGATGTTTATAAATGGAATTAAATCTTTAGAAAATTAATACTACTTTTTATCTCCTCAAATTCAATGTGTGCTACTTATAACATAATAGCTTACTCCTTACCCTTTTCTGTTGGTAAATTTCACATTGTATGAGGAACATGTCATCTATGCAATATACCTTATTCCTTCAATTGTAAACCTTGAATTCAACAGGCTCTTCATCGTGTGTGAGGATAATTTGAGAAACCCTTATAAGCTCACCTGCGTCAAAGATTATCATCATATCAAAGGTGATGATGCACATATTATATACTTAGAAGTTACAGAGTACTCAAGAGCATTTGACTTCCTGGTTAATAAATTAGACAAATATCTTCTCAGAATCTATGTGGAAATTTCGTTCCAAAGTTAGGATTTTTTGGTTTTTGAAACAGTAAGCACTTACCATTTGACGATACGGAATAAGTGTGCGCTTAGGGAAGTTTCTATCATCGTATTTGTACCGAGCTGAGAATTCTAATTCAATTGTCCTACAGAAAGACTATGGACGTTATTTGTTTGCCTATCCCTCGTTATTTAGTCCACGGTTCTTGCGTTTGCCCATTATGCCCATGCTCCAAATCAAGTCGGAACTCTTTATATCGGCACCTTCGTATACATTTTTGATCCAATATGGACAAAAATGAGAAAGTGAGGGATACGTTCAGCGAGCAAATGGAGAACCATACAGGTTCTTTTTTGTTGCCACTCGCGCGAATGAAATGCATGAACGTTATATTAGACTTCCCGTGGGTGAGATATTAGGGGAGAGATCAACTCTCTCCTCCTATCTGAGATCTCAACAAGTTTTACACCCCTTTAAATTGCCTCTTTGTTCAGAAGAAGGAAAGTATCATGATCCAAGTAGAAAACAAAAAAATAATGGACAGAACTCATCAAGCTAATGAAACTAAATGGTTGACAAAAGTGTTAGATACCAATGGTATCAGAATGTCAAATATCATCTACATTATTTCCGTCAAAGTATCTACAAACCACATGAACATTCCATGCCTTTTCACCTAATGTAATTGCTCTCATAACACTAGCTAGACTAGTGATCTATACATACTAATGGAGATTACGTTATTTAAAATATGCTACACAACACTCAAAAGAGAGCGATATACTTGTTGCTTATCAAGGTAGTCTCCCTCACAATCTTTCACAGAACAAAAGCAAAATTCGGGATCAAAACGCCAATGCTAGAGGAACAAACATGAGAACTCTTTGTATACTTCTGTATTTTGTGACCCTGGCTATTGCAGCTCCACTTGACACATATTCACGCACATAAAAAGGTTCAGAGTCTAATTCTTTGTGTTAGATGGTTTGCGACCGTTTGATATTCCGTTTTGCACCTGTCCTTTTGATCACAAGATGAATAAGCGCAAGCGAATTACCAAAGTCGAGCTCGAACCTTCACAACGAAGTTGAATGGAGGAGAATGAAGTTATCCTGGATAAGCCCAGTGATATGACGCTTTGGGCAAGGCAAGTGGGGCTGCCATTGACTCAAAATGGAGCAGAAACAGTCACAGCAAGATAAGTTTAGAGTGCAGATACTGTCCAGACAGACAAGGGTCCACAGGCAGGGGAGGGGAGGGCAGGGGCCCTATGGCGGCCATGTAGATGATATTCACTCCTGCAGGTTTTGACACAGCAGCCATTTGACTCTTGACTTGTGCATGTTGTTTGTTCATGATAAGCTTGTCACTGCAGAATTTTCAATGATTTTGAACTTATGAAAACAGTTGTTACAAGTATTCCCCGTGGTGACAGAGAGTCGAACCGAGGCCTAGAGAATCTTCCTTTCGTACCTCAATAGTGACCAGATTGAACTTCAATTTTGTCCATGGGTTGCATGAGCAGCGAAGTCCCAGCAGCGAAGCCTTCGGTCCTCTTATATATCTCGTATCAACTGGGGCACCTAAAAGTGGACCCTTTTGATGCTACTCTGTGTGTATGCACGGGGTCCCACCCTCCACTCACGAATGGGGCTCTCCAATCATGTAATACAGATCTTGGGCTTCAAAGGGTCTACTTTGCAGCTCAAAAGAATCCAAAGTGGGCCAACTCTCAAAAACCATTTGCCGCTAGCATGACCCCACCTGACCTTTAGTCGACACCAGGCCCAGGCTCTGGGTTCTGTAATCCGGAAATCCGTCGAATTTTGGTAAAGTTGCTTGTAAGAGGAGGTGGATGATGGCGACATGATCATCCTGCACTCCCGAACGCTTCTCTTTGTGCTGGGGATTCATGTCCTGTTTTGTCAATCATCACGGATGGAGGACTGCTCCGTGAGTTTCCTTAAGTGTGGAGGCAATAACTTAAGCAAAAACGTTTGGATCACACGACTGTGGATTCTAATATCAGAGCTAGAAAAACCAAACCTCTGCTGTCAAAGTCTTGTTATGAAGTTCTTTTCATCTGTTGTCCAGTATTTCTCCTATCTTTAAACACGAGTGCACATGTTGACTTTTTATTTTGGTTTCCAAGATTTCTCTTGTACAAGTTTGTAGGATTGCTGCTGTACTTGCCCTGGGATGCTTTCTGGACCTGCTAGAAAGTCAAGTGGACATTGGTATCTGTTGCTTTTCACTAATAACACATGAGCTTACGTAGACCCAACTTCGTAACGAACTGCTCAGACATCTTTCGAATGCCAACCCAACTGCTCCATTCTGATGGATCGATGGATGACATAGTAGTCATGTCATGTGAATGTAAATCCGTGGTGTTGCTTGAAAGTAAGGGTACGCTATGCAGAGAAAAGGCTCTCATCCATCGAGACTTGATCCTCACCTTACCACCTTAGCTTTCTGCAACTTGTGAGGATACTTCTACTCGTCTCACAGATGTATTCCAAATGCGTTCGTATGGTTTAAAAATCATTTCACGCGTACTGATAGATGTATTCAAAATTCGTTCGTATGGTTTAAAACTGAGTTCTCACCTACTGATACAACCATGTGCATCCTGGTTGGTTTCTGAGGGTGAAGAATATTATCCAGCGGTCCAGCGGTTGGAGATCCAGAATAGAATATTTTGAAGCCCTCTATTGACCTGATTATTTAAGCAAAATGGGGCCCTGTACATCGCAACATTTTGTTGCTCAGGCTTTGTCCTTTGAGTAAATGCCATTGGCCAACAACTAAGCTGCTTTAGCATAGGTTTGTTGCTCTTAAGACGTACACATTTCAACGTTATCGTATTCAAGGTGGAAGCACAGATGTGAGGATGGTATGAGCCTGATTGCAAGACCATGACAACAGGCAAGAGAAATGTCTCCGATCTTAAAAATCTAGAAAATCTTACTCTCCACAAAGTGTTGCAAAGGTGGTCTACACCGTCGAAGTAGTTACATTGCTTCCATCCCCAAAATACAGAACGTTTTTTTTCTTTTCATCCCATCCTTTTGGTGACCAGTGAAGAGATACATATGAATAGATTGCAGTCATGGACCACGCCCAACCCTCGCTTGCCATGAGGGGAACAACTCCCCACTATCTGTACACATCTCGATTGCTAAAGGAAGCTGAAAGGGAATATATTTCTGTCACGTTACTAGTTGTTGTTAACCATAGAGTAGATATACGTCACTCCATAGACTCCAGTAGATGACCTTACCGACTCACTAGGAGGAGAATAGAGACACTACCAACTGAATCTAGATCTAACTAAATAATATAATTGCATCTATAACACATTCTTACAACTCACTTGAGTAACCTCTTTGAGATGTGGCAGTAAGTAAGCAAACTACGGTACTGCAATCGATCCATCTACAAAACTCTAATCTTTATTAAAATTGACCACCATTTTTCCCTGGTTTTGTTTTTGGGTGGGATGAGCCCTGCGCTGATGTGAAGACTTGATACACGTTATTCAGAAAATTATTTTTGTAGATAGCTAATCTTCAGCTCATAATGTGAAGCGAGACGTTTCTTTTTAATGTAAACCAGGCTTGGTGAAGGGCCCCACCGGAGGCGGCAGATCCTTTACAAAGAGTATAGCTGAATCCAGTCCTTAATCCAACTACAGATAGGACTGGAAATGATGGGGAAATGGGAGATAAAATCAGGATAAATTATTAGCATCCGTGAGACCAGAGATCGGAATCTCGAAGCCCCGCAACCTGGGGGGGTGAATCGCCGGAAACCAGCTGGCGGGCGATGGAGGGAAGGAGCCGGACAGAAGGAGCCGAGGACCTCGAAGCGACGGCGAATGTACCGGCAATGTTTGCGGGTTGAGTTAGCTCCCTAAAAGGTTGGGTTGGGCCTCTCTCTGTCGGGTCGTGTCGGGTCGGGTTAACGTCGAGTTAGCGTCGAGGGTTGAGTTACTGTATCGGAAACCATGCTGTTTGCTGTTGGTTCTTTTGGGAAAAGGGAAAGGTCTTCGGCAATCCGGATACAGTGACGGACGGCCGGAAAGGGGCTCGTTGTCACTGTAGGAAGATCCGGTACGGTACTCGTAGTAGAGAGATCTGTGGACAGTGTACTGGCAGAAGCAGCCACCGGGCGATGGGTCCCCTCCATCGTTTCTGTTCGGTTGAAGCGGACGAAGAAAGGGAGGAAGGGAATGAAGGGGGACAGACTCTACTACAGAGTGAGTGAGGGAGTGAGGGAGGGAGGGAGTGAGAGCAAGCTGGAGCAATGAGCGAGAATTGATTGCGCTGGAATTACACTGCGGGGGTCGGGGACACTGAGGGTGAGTTAAAGTGAGTGAGTGCGCGAGCTAGCTCGCAGGCCTGAACCCTGCTGGCGGTGCAGTCAGGCCTTTAAAGCCTTCTGATGAGAAATTCACTTTGGAGTTCTCAGCTCAGCTCAGTAGCTCGGCCCGTCCCAGCTCCTCTCCTCGCATCCCGTTCCATCCCATCTCGTCTGGTTTTGGTTCCCACTCCGCTGCGCTGCAGTCAGAGCTCCAAGTCCCCACTCATTCCCATCTCCCACCCTCGGATTGAAGCTCTAGGAGCTAGACGACCACCACCCAGCTCGGACTCGATGAGAGAGTAGTTTAAGGAGGAATAGAAGAAGCATCAGCAGCAGCAGCAGCTCGAGCTGTTGCGGCCAATGCGGGCTTGTAGCCGTGATAGCCAGACTATCCCATCTAACTATGTCCTTGAGGTGTGAGGAAACACATGTGGGCGGAGTCGTATGCCTTTGACACTGTGTGCAGCAGCCACCGAGCCATTTGTGCATGTTACGGATTTCCAGGCCCATTGGAACGCATGGTGTGACTGATCCTGGACTCACCGAGAGACCGAGAGGGAGACAGTTTACATGTGTGAGTGATTGATTGAGTTTCACGTACATCGAAATGAGTCGTATCGGAGAAGGAGTATGAGAATCGAGCTCGAGGAGAAGATTGCAGACCAGACCAGGTGCTTACGAACTTCTCTGAGCTCGAGTGCTCGAGAGTGAGTGACAGACAGGTTGTTGTACATGTGAGTGAGTGCATATGAGATCCGCGTGGTAGCTGCATGTTTTTAGAGCTGTGCCCTGCACGAACCTGACGTCCGTGTGTCGAGCTTTTCGCGTATCTGGGAGGACCGAGCGAGTGAGGGAGAATCAACTGAGACCCGTACGCGGCTGATTCTGCGCAATTCCTACCCGTGGGCATGACTAGACTCTGATTGTCCGTCTGTCTCTTACTCAATGAGTGCATTGCAGCTCAGATTGGTAGCCAGTCCGATTTCTGATTTTATATTCGCCAGGCTCCAACTTTTGGAAGGTCACGGACAACCCTCCTCCTTGCGGAAGGAAAGCTGTCCTTTAATATCTCGTCACCGACCCTGTTGCTTTTCCACCTTTTTTCACAGTGTTTCACGAGTGAGCCCCGTTTGATGGATGTGTGCTCGTTTCCGCAGAAAGCTTCCGTGCATCGGGTCCGAAGAATCTGTCGAGCTGAGACAGTGAGGAGTCGAGCCGAAGGTTTCCCCGGGCGAGTACTCGAAAGGAGGAGATGGCACCTACGAAGACGGGGTCCCTCGGGGGCAGTGATACGGATGGCATTGTGGGCAGCTACGGCGAGATGCAGGAACAGCACCAGAAGATTGAGCAGCTCGAAAACGACGAGCAGCTTACTATTGGTGGCCGAGCCAAGGACTTGCTCTGGCATGGTGGATCTGCCACCGACGCCTGGTTCAGTGCAGCCTCCAACCAGGTCCTTTTCCCCTCGCTGCTGTCGGTGCAATTTTCTATCGAGCTGTGTGCTTTGTTCATTTTTTAGCTTCCCCACAATCCGCGCAGCCTCAATCCCCGAGCAGAAACTCGTGTCAGCGCGGCCCTCTCTTTCTCTCTCCCCCTCTCTCTTGGTTCACGCGGAGCACGAGCGCAACTTTCATTCCGAGAGAACGTGCCGCGAGATAGTTGTGATGGCTTGAATTCTGCGCGCTGGATGGCACTCGATGTTGTACTCCTTGCGGCTTACAGCGTTTTCCTTTCAGTGCCCTTCCTTCCTGTCACAGAGTTCCTTCGATCATTCGTCCTTTTCAGGGAAACGCATTTGATTCTCCATCGAGCTGGTATTTCCCTGAAAATTTACGCTCCTTCTCGAAAACAGTAATTTGTGTCCGCGAGTGATACGACAGCGGTTCAATGAGTTAGGCAGCAGGTGATGTGGGCTCAGCTCGTACGTCGAAGAGCGAGGCCAGGCGAATGGTCTCACATGAGCGACGCTTTTCATCATGGGAACAGTCCATGGGAACCTGAATTGTTGAACTGCTCTGCTTTCCAGTTTCGCTTTCAGATTAGAAAATGCGAGCTTTACATCGTGAGCAGTGGTCTTTCGGTCCAAGGCCATTGACTCCAGTCGTCCGGTCTTCCAGTCTCCTCCAGGGGTGCTGCGACCTTGAGCCTTCCAAGGGGGGCATTAGTTGCGTCTTCTCAGAGGGTTTTCTCTATTGGAGAAGAACACTCTTGTTCTTCGGAGGTGCGATTTCTAATTATAGCTTAAAAGTGAGGCCCCTGTCTGAAGTACTCGGACTGTCCGTAAGCAGATGACGCTTCGTCTGGTTGGTGCTGCTTTGTCGAGTATGTGTAGGAAGCATGTCCGAGAATAGGGGGATAGTGATGTAATCCAGTTGCTCATTTCTTATCTAACCAGTTGGTTGGTGTATGCGCGGGTGGTGGTGTTGCTGGTGATTGTGCAGGTGGCTCAAGTTCTGCTGACTCTGCCATACTCTTTCTCACAGCTGGGAATAGCTTCAGGAGTTACCTTCCAAATATTTTACGGTCTGGTCGGATGTTGGACATGCTATCTCATCACCACCCTGTACTGCGAGTACCGTGCTCGTAAGGAGAAGGAGGGCCAGGACTTCAAAAATCATGTCATCCAGGTGCGTGCGTGCTGTGCGATCACTTTTTCGCCTAAGCCATGCTGCTCTGTTAGAGCTTGAATCTCTGCCTCTCCACTTGCCTGCCATCGTTTGACATCGAGGGCTTCCAACATTTGAAATCGGAAGATTGAGATGGCATGTGAACTGTCTTCTCTGGTGCTTTGCAGTGGTTTGAGGTGCTGGGTGGACTGTTGGGGCCATACTGGAGGATGGCTGGTCTTGTCTTCAACTGTGTTTTCCTACTCTTCGGATCCGTTATCCAGCTCATAGCCTGCGCAAGGTGATGGTGGTGCCATGCCATGGCTTGTCTCTGAAGTTTGAGTCAGTCAGCTCCATCCACCCTGAGCGCAGCGGAATGAATGCAATGTTTTCTGTCCCGGACTGAGTCTTTGATTTGATTTTGTTTGCTGATTTGTTTCCGTGGGCTGTGCAGTAACATATACTTGATCAATGATAAATTGGACAAGCGTACATGGACGTACATCTTTGGCGCATGCTGTGCTACGACTGTGTTCATTCCCACCTTCCACAACTTCCGGGTCTGGTCGTTCCTCGGCTTGATTATGATCACTTACACTGCGTGGTACATGACCATCAGTTCCCTCATTCACGGACAGGTACGTAGACCCCAGCTAGCGCAGCTTTTTCAGACCCGATTTCTGAACGCTGAGCACGGCAGAGTGCTTGATCTGGATCTCATCTAATTCCGATTCGTGACACGAGTGGATGAATGACTTCAACCTTTGCAGGTTGACAACGTTGAGCACTCTGGGCCCACTAGCCAGGTCCTGTATTTCACTGGAGCTACCAACATTCTCTACACATTTGGCGGTCATGCTGTCACTGTGTAAGACTCTCTCTCTCCCTCCCCTGACGTTTGTCTTCAAGTGGGCCGGTGATTTGCCTTAGGCTAAGAGGCAAAGCCAATTTTCATTAGGCTTTGGATGAGTGATCTAGTGAATAACAGTACTCGACGAAGCGAACGGCAAGCTGAATTTGCTGATTTATCTAATTTTGGCGCAGAGAAATCATGCACGCCATGTACAAGCCTGCGAAATTCAAGGTCGTGTATCTGCTGGCAACAATCTACGTCTTCACATTGACACTGCCATCCGCCGTTGCTGTGTACTGGGCTTTTGGTGACAAGCTTCTCAAGGCTTCCAACGCCCTGTCTCTGCTCCCAAGAACCAAGTGGAGAGACGCAGCTGTCGTGCTCATGCTTATCCATCAGGTAACTTACCGTCCACTATGGTGTCCAAAATCTAGTTCTTTGAGCCCGGGCATCGGAGATTGAAAATGCTTGTCGGTAAATTTCTGACTCGATTGGAAATGTTCTGGGCAGTTCATCACATTCGGATTTGCTTCGATGCCACTTTACTTCGTGTGGGAGAAGTTTCTGGGCGTCCACAAGACGAAGAACCTTCTCTTCCGGGCCTTGTGCAGAATGCCCGTCGTACTTCCCATCTGGTTCCTGGCAATCATCTTCCCCTTCTTCGGACCTATTAACTCAGCCGTGGGAGCTTTACTGGTGACATTCACTGTATACATCATTCCATGTGCCGCCCACATGGCTGTGTACCGTTCCTCGTACGCACGAATGGTAAGCTCACAGAGCTCTGCCATCATTGCCTTTGACCATTTGCTTTCGAGTTTGAATGTTTCTGGTTGTTTGACAACCAAACGTCGGTCAGATGTCTGTCAATGGAGTGGGGCGTCGAGTGAGTTGGCCTACGTCTCCTACTGTTGTAGGGCTGCGAGCTTAGGTGGAAGTAAAGTGGCTCTTTCAGTGGCACTCGGAGGCAAGGGTGCTTCACTTGGTCGTGTGTGTGTCTGTGTGCGTCTACGAGAGCTGAATGATCACGATGGACTTTTGCTGCGCAGAATGCCGTCTTCAAACCTCCGAGATTCCTTCCCAGCTGGACTCTGATGTACATGTTCAACATCTTCCTCCTGATCTGGATCCTAGTGGTGGGAGTAGGTTTCGGAGGCTGGGCGAGTATGACCAACTTCGTCAGGCAGATCGATACGTTCGGCCTATTCGCCAAGTGCTTCCAGTGCCCTCCTCGCGCGGTTGCGGCTGCGGCACCGTCCTTGAAATTGGCCTAAACGATCGCTGCTGCTGTCAGCTCTATACTACCGACCCATACTACTACATCATCATCAACACCACACAACACCGACGCGCTGATGAAGATCGGATTATGACAGACATGCTGCAGACAGCGGATGCAATGAACTGTCCCCGGAAGACTGAGGTTCAGGACATGGAACAAGACTGTACAGGGCGAGGAGAATCAGCGTGGATAGTAGTATCTAGAGGGCCTTCTGTCTCTTTTTACTCGGCCTGGCCTTCACGAGAGAGATCTGATTCTAGAGAAAGAGCAGTTGAAGAAGATGAGGATGAAGATGAAAAAGAAGAAGAGGAAGAAGAGAAGAGAAGAGATGAGAAGAGAAGAGAACGAGCAGGCCAGATATATGTCTCTTACTTATACATGACTTTTGGTGCCGCAGAATGTGCCCATGCATGCATAGCAAATCAGCAGAGCGGACTGTGCCCTGCCCTGCGCTGCCATGCCATGCGCTGCCCGACCGACCTACCTCCTGTGACCCTATCCGACTTCGCAGTCACCTCTTAGCATAGCGAGACAACTAGATCCAGTAGCCATAGGATTGGCACTTACTGTCACCGCGAGCACTACTCCTTCCCTTCCGCCACATCCAAAACCACCATCATCATCATCATAGTCCTCATAAGTGCACAAACGCCACCTCGTTTGGTTCATTCGGTCCGCTGAAACCTTGTAGAATCAGCAGCAGCAGCACTCAGTAGGACTCTATTTTCCTTAGCGCTAGCAGTAGCAGTAGCAGCAGCAGCAGCAGAGTAGTAGTAGAATGATTCATCCACTCATCCGCCATCTTCCTCGGTTCTTATCTGGTCCAAAGCTGCGGCACCACACTGTCTTGGGTTGTAAGTCGCGTAAGCACGGGACTACTTTCAAGTCCCACAGAAAAGTTTACTTGTATCGTTATTATACTTAATGGCTCATCTTTGTCTACAATCTTTCGCCTCCCTGTCTTTCCATGCGTCTCCTTTTGCGCCACTCTCGTCATCCTGCATGCTATTCGTTTGGAAGCTCCCACTGTGACCGCCAATCTTAAGAACAACGCCTGCAATCTCGCCTAAAAAGCAGGACCCACCGCCCGGAGGTTACTTTTTCGACGCGGGAAGCAGGTCCAGGATTTAACTCCCGTCTGACCTCTGCTCTGCCCATCTTCCGTGCTTTTTGGTCGTTGAGCATGACCCGGAGCCGGAGGGATCATCCGATTACTGCAAGCAAAAGCCTCCAGAGGCGTGTAATTTCGAGTCTGCGCACTAGTAAGAAACAGCCTTCGGCTGCTGTCACCTGTCTTTAAATGGGAGAACAATTCTTCGCAGTGGCTGGGGATTTTCCCAGGGCTTCCAGGGCCCGCAGCTCTTTTCCCCAGTGATGTCAGAGGCAGGACGGAGCTCCCCATGGTAGCGCATTGATGTTGAAATCGGTGCAGGGACAGTAGACGGAAAAGCGAGGCCTTAATTTTCTCGATTAGATCAGATCAAACTCTTTCGAAATTCTTCCAGAGGAACGTGAGCACTGTGTGAACAGTCTATGGCTGCCGCCTACTGGCCGCCCCTCTGCAGGCACAGACTCGGACACTGACGGCACGAAGACAACTGGGACTTCTACGACTTGCGGACTACGTGCCGAAGTGCAAGCCACGACATTCTGCAGATAAAGAAGTGGATAGATTCGGAGCACGAATCAGAAAGTTGTCACGAATGTGTACTGGAGGAAGTGCGAGCTACGGTGCGCAAGCGGGACTGTTGTAAGCCTCCCTCCCAAATTCATCGGCGGTGCGCGATGCATGCCAAAAGCAAAGACGGTGATCCCAGATTTTGAGGACGTAATTCTGGTGATGAAGCTTTGCAGTGTCCGTGAGTGGCATGTGTCAATGGGAAGGAACATCTCGTGCAGAGCTCCCTTGCATCCACTCTGTAGAGTGGACCCAAAGGGCCTGCCTCTAATAAGTGAACGAAGAGTACTTGCCATGGAGCAAATTCATGGGCAGCGCGATGCTGTTCGTTATTAATAATGAATAACTCGCTCCACTGGCTCGCCAGTACCGCAATATATTTATATATATGTATTGAGGTAGAGATGCAGTCAAAGTAATTCGTTCCACGTCCATACGGAGATACGGACAAGAGGTATCATCGACGATGCGGACGGGCAGTTTGCTTGACAGGGAGGAGGAACAAATGATTAGTAATGGGGAAGATTCGATCGAACTCGAACCGATGCGAATCATTATGGACGACATCTGCTATAGTTCTTCGTGAGAGCTGCATGCGACGTGCTGGGTGATGACAATTGAGCTGACAGACGTCCATTTTATGCACAACAAGGACACGGTACCCCTGTGAGGAGAGCGAAGCTCCGACCAAAGCTTCCAAGTCAACAAGAGTCGAAGAAACTTCGCTGAAAACAGAACTTCTTTACTCCAGAAACGAGTCCCCCGTATCCATTGTTTATGGCCCATCCCAGTACTTGACATGATGCACCTGGTGTGCTTTCAAAGTGATGTCCGAAGCACGGACACCGGACACAGGCCGGCAGGGCAATCTACCAGGTTGTATAGGCTATGCCACACTCACGGTCAAGACTGCAATGCAATGCAATGCAATACAAGCAGTGCTCGAGGAGCACCCGCAGGTACAACCTCATCATGTGCTCTGAGACTCGGGGCTTAAACTAAGCAGAAAAATTGAACGCCGAAGCGACGTCTCTTCTGTGTTGGGGACTCGATGATGCTGATGGCAATCATGGCAAGCCAGGCGGATTTGGGAAGCAGCCTTGGCACGTGATAAAGCTCGGCCACTCGATGCCATGGCTGGTGAATAGGACGAACGGTGAGCACAGCCTATGAGGCACAAGGGGGCCGACGGGAGGCAGCAAGGAAGGACAGAGCGAGGAATAAAGGTCTTGCGAGAACGGCAGCAGCATCAGCAGAAGCAGGTCCGTGTGAGATGGGAGGGAAGGGCCGGGGAGGTTCATGTCGCCAATCATCATCTGCATATGACACGACAGCAGAAGCGCCGCACAGCTCAAGCAAGGCAGCTATGCCCCTGGCCAACGAATGGAATGCAGCCTGTTCGCAGTCACACAGGACTCTGGAGGCTTACAGCTGCCGTTCTGCCACAGCGCTGTTCTGAGCTGTACTGCCGGCTCTCCTCCCTCCCCTGAGCTTCCAGCGTCGACAATCACCAGTCTCCAGCAGCCCAGGACGAGATAGCCGACCCCCGTTAGCAGCTGCTAACACATGACAACCTCACATTACTGAGAGATAATCGGATTTGGTTTCTGCTGCCGCTGCTCTGGTAGGTTGCAGCTGAACGAATTTTGATGGACCTTCAGGAGATCAAATTCCAGAACTAATTGTTTCGGATAGGATGAACTAGTTTCAGTCCGAATCTTCTGAGTCTGGACGTTATGCGATTCAGTTTACCGTTAAGGGTAGGATTGCTCAGGACTCGACGGATTGGAGTGAATTACATCTGAGGTCAGAGGAGAAGTGAGCGGATGGATTAGTTGAAGGAAGGTAGGAAACTCAGGGCCTGAGAAAGCTAGAAGTCGTTTGTCACTCTCCTTCTGTGGCACTTTGGCCAACTACCACATTGAGCAGCAGCATCGAGAGAGAGAGAGGGAGGGAGGGAAGGAGGGAGAGATTTTGATAAAGTCGATGGCTTGACAGAAAGCGAAAAGGACGTGAGTGAGGTCGAGCCGAGGTCGGAAGGACCGGCTACCTTTCGGCGCAATCCGTGTGAGTGCAGAGGAGCGAGCACTGGTTGTCCCGTTTCGGACGGCTTCACCATTCCACATGGTCCTCACTACAGCTGCAGCTGTAGCTCCCCTTCCACTGTTTTCTCCTCCTCCTCCTCCTCTTCCTCCTCCTCATTTGCCAGTCCTGACTGGTAACCAGGGAGCGGGAGGGAATGATGGATGGGGACATAGAATCTTGACGCCGTGTCGACTTCGTGGGCTCGATCGAAGACGAAGACCGTACGCAGTAGAGTTATCCACTGTTCTCAATCGAGATCATTATGAAGATTATGCAATCCTGGTCCTGCAGCTGTTGGAGGTGAGTTGGGTAGATGGTCCATGTACTATTATTGCCAATGAGTGAAACCTCGAGTCAACGTCAACTTTAGTATGCTGTTTCAATCCGCCACTCGACAACAGAGAACAAGTGGGCACAGAATAATAGTAGTCATAATGATTTAAGATACATAGGGAAGCCCCACAATGCAGACCCACAATGCAGACCCACAAAAGTCGTCCTGGTCCTTGGCGTCACGGCCATAGTTGTACTGCAGTTATCTACCAGCTTTCCAATCTTTTTGCTTCGAATCTGCATCAGCTTATTATCAAGGATGGACAGCAAGGAGGTGCAAGATTTTTGGGCTTTTCAGTAGGATAATCTATCATATGCTCGATCGAATTTCCATCTCGACGTACATCAGCAGCTGTCAACTTTGGAGAAGCTGGGCAACCTGCTTGGAACAGTCCAAGACTGTCCTAGTTGAACACTCGTCATGACAAAAGAAGACGGTACAATCTCGTGTCTGTAAAGACCCCCATGACGAATGTGGACCATCATCCGAAGTTGTTTGGAAGCCAAGGAGAAAAGAAGACAAGGAAGAGAAGGAAGAGGTGGGAAGAGGTGGGAGGAGGAGGAAGAGGAAAATGGGCGGTGCGATTTGTTTGAGAGACATCTTTGGTACATAAAGCCTGGACGAGTCAGTAGTTGGGCCATTCTATTCAGAGAAAGTCCTGCTGCTTTTGCCGCAAGGCAATTTCGGCGCGACCTTGAATTCAGTGCACATCGGGAGAGCCAACATCCAGCCCTGTCTTAAAGCTGCGAATTGCCTCCAGAGAAAGTGAGCGTTGCTTTGATCAACGACCGTCGTTGTTGACGGACTTCCGATCAGGTCAGCCCATAAACATCTCCCAGCGCGAACTATAACAAAGCATTTTCAAAAAAGGTAACATCGTCGTGTCCAGATCCAGAGGAATTTCTCTTTCAGAAGAGTGGGCGCCTCAAGGCTTGATTCCTCAACAGTTCCCAACAGTTCACATTCCAGCACAGTGGCAAACGAGCCTTAAAAATTTGCCATGTGAAGAAATCGTAAGTTAGCTCAGATTGATCAAAATCATCTCTGACCTGATCAAGAGCCCTCCCTCTGTCAACATTATCATTCTGACAAAATTTAGACCAAGAGATGATGCTTAGCGGTTGACCGACGAGGACTGAGGTGCTTTTTCAACTGGGCAGACACAAATAAGTACAAATATCAAACGAAGCAAGAAATCTGCCGAGAAAGTAGTGGAGCCGTGAAATGAGGCTGAGAATCAGACGCTTTTTTTTATCTAGAACTCGAGTGCACGTGATTATTCGATCTTCAAAGCCCACGATGCCCGGTAGTAAGTGGCAAACAGGGTGAAAGGAAGAAAGTCAGAAATAACAAATGTACTTATTCCCGTAACCAGGAGGGGGTGACACTGTGGAATGAATGCTCTTTGATGCCAGCAGCTATGAAAGAAGCAAAGATAACATCGAAGTGCTCCTAAATCTCAAAAACCGAGCACTGTCCCAGTTCTTCTTCCTCTAAGTCACCATCCCGAACTATCAAGGACAGAACATTAGAGGTGATGCCTCTCAATAATTACGAATAATGATTGCAGATTCTCCTCTTCTTCACTATCATGATCATGACCGGTGCCCAGCTTTGATACGTCTTTCACTAAATCTCTCCTTGGCCGCTCATGGAAGATGCATGACCGTCATGGAGTACTGTCTGGACTGGGGGTTGGGTGGAAAGAAGGACGAGGGGAGCAAGTGATCGAGCTTCTGGGCCTTCAACGACGAAGCATTGCGTGACATGGAGGAGTCAGCGTTTAAGGAGAGGGTGTAAGATTAAGACAAGCTTTTGGCCGAAAGGCTTCGAGTGTTTTGTCCTGATTTGCATTAAGAATGGTAAAGGAGGCCAGCGACTGATACGGCTGGCCACCACGCATGGACTAGCTTTAAGGCACTTGTTTAAGGATGTCGATTTCGAGACATGAGTCCAATCTTGCCCCTTTCCAGTACAAGAATCATCGAGTGGAGCAATTTGAGTCATAAATCAGCCACCGGGAAGCAGTTATGTTGTCCCAATTCTTCGTGGCATGGCATTGTGGGAAGAGCATCTCGCCCAAAAGTGCCTCGAGGGCCGAATGGGGCCAAACTCGTCCAACACGTTGTGAGGCAGGCATCGGGGCTGTGGTCACCCCCACCGGTCAGCGAGTCAGCGAGTCAGACATGGAAACCTTTGCCTTGACATGCCATGCCATGCTGTACGTGCGTGTGTGAGTGGGAAGTGCTGCTGCGTTTCAGGCGATACGAGGAATCTTTCAAAACTCTCCTTGTGGCATTTTGCTTCAAGAGTTCCCACGTCGACCATCGAGGACCGAAGTGCTTTTTCTGATGCTCACTTAATATAGAATTCTTCTCATCATCTGCTGTGCTGACGGTCTCATCGGTCACGGTGCCAAAAAGCTTCTCACCAGCGCGAAGTTTCTCCTCAAAGATCAGTTATATCATATTGAGGTTGTTGTCCAGCCAAGGGGGAACCAATGACTAAATCACGTTCATCTGTAAGTAGTCAATGACTTCCTAAAGTGACACGGTGCGTAATACTGCGGTATCAAATTTTCTTACCTCTCTGGATTGTTATTATTAGATAGAATGGTGTTCTTGCAGATAATTTTTTGTGAATTCTGTGAACTGCACACATCATTGATTATGGAATAACCGCCATTCATGACGATGACTGTTAGCCTTTCCCTTTCTTGTGACTTTCGTGGTGATTCGTGCTAAGCTTTCAGGGCATTGCCTTTGAGTTGTAATTTGCGAGTTGACTGTGGTTTTTCCATCTGATGATTCTCAGTATCAATTCACGTACTCTGTAATAATCTGTGTGTTCGTATTCTACGTGTATTTTTTTTCCCTCAAATTACAATTGATTCAGAATGTAGCTACTAGATTTTTACATTTCCTGTAAAAGTCAATAAATCGCATTTGTTACCCATAAGCCAGTTTGCACTAGAGAAGAAATGATTTTCAAAGATCTAAATTATAGTTTAAGTCATGTCATCCGGCTGTCGAAATTTGGAATATTATTTGAATCTCTTATATTGCTCCAGACTATAGAGGCATACAAATACAAAAATATATCTGTTTAAGGTTATCATATCATCCTGACCATAAAAACCGTATTGGCTTCAGACAAGAAAAGGCAAACTACTTCCGTCTGCTGATCTCGGCCACTGTTTGTTATTCCGAAATCGGAACATTTTACTTTGTATGCACGTCTTGTAAAAACTGTGCTTCTTGTGACCGGGACATTCAACGGTGATCTTTCTTCCATCGGATTGGTCTGCACGTTCATAGTCTCGGGGTATGCATCTACCATTTCTCAGCAGGCTGTTATCAATGAAATCTGCTTTTGCTGGAATTTCAAAACCCGATGATTGCGGAGTACTCAATTTTTGACCTTGGCCAAGAAAAGAATTGTGTATATCCAAGCGGCATATATCCAAGAATTGTCTTTGAAGCGGAAGTCCAATTCTGAACTTGTGCGTGACTTCATGGTCAACCGGAATATGATTGTCAGTAATGTTTGGATTGTATGACGAACTTCTTCGTCGGCTCGGCTCACTGGAGTTCCCGACACTCGTCTTCTTCAGAACATTCTCTACGTTTTCCATCGTGGAAATCAAAGTGAGTGATTACCCACTCGTATTCTCACACACCCTCATAATGTTGCCGTCCCTCAACATTCACTCATAATGTTAGCAAACCTCCTTTAACCCTCACGACCTTTGCGTCTCAGAAGACTACAGCTTCATTATACAAAAGACGACAGATCCTTTCGAAGCTCATTCATTACGTGTGACCTCGATGCTTAATTAAGACAGGCACATACGTGACTGTCGATAAATCATCCTGCACCGTAGACTCTTCATCACACAACAAACTCATCGTTAACATCCAGATGGAGTGGCGTGGATTGGGTTGCTGTAGGTCGTGGCTCTCATGCCCATGCTCGCATGTGATCAATTGACTGCAGTAGTATTGTCGAGTCTGCCACCTTTTCGAGAGATCCTACGCAGCTCGAAATATGAATGTTCAGGCCGTTCTGACGGATTGCTCTGTATCAGATTTGAGTATTGCTTTCAAAGCAACAACTGATTGCCAGAATGCCATTACGTTCTGTTTCCTTCCACTGTCTTGTCCCCAGAGATCTCTGAGGCCCAGTGGAGTGCTTTCGATCTTCCTGAGCGTGTGGTTCTCCCTCGCAACATGCATTTGTGCATGCGCTTCGACGACTTTAGTTTTGGAGCTCTGGTGTTTCCAGACGGCAGAGGTTTTGGCTGCTTCGACCATAACTCTTTCAACTCTATAGATAGGCTCTATCTTTGCATCACCGTGAAGCATGCATGACATTACGAAACGTGAAGACAGGCGCTGTGAGAAATGTGGTTCATTCCAGCATATCTGGATACTATTAAAGTACGAAGAGACGATGGCACCAGGATCTACGATCGACCGAAGGTGCGCATGAAATGAAACCAGGCCAAAAGCATACAAGTTTCTCACAGATTAAGCACACAAAAGGAAACAGGAGTGCAAAGTCAAACAGAGATAGATGATGTTCACAGAGGAAATGCAGATTGCAGTAATACAACGAGTTGATGTTTGGAAGATGCTCTCATCTGAAAAAGCCCCCGGCAAGATGCTGCTGCTGCTGCCCACGATTATTCTAGGGCCGAGGCACCGTGCAGCAAAGCGGTGGGAGGCGGACCGCGCTACTACAGCGACCGCTCCATGCACCGGTGACGTCTCGACGCCCTCAGAGTCCACAAAACCATCGGCGTCATGCTTTGCGAGCCTCCCTATCTCCGGGAGCACCAGTTGCTGGTTCATTCTGTCCCTTTCGGCGTCGTCAAATGGAAATAAGTAAGCAGCATCGGCGTCAGCAGCCGGCGAAAACATTCCCTGCTTTCTGTGGCATGCTTTTCAGAATTATGGACCCTGTCAACGCACCACCAGCTCCAGCACCAGCACCAGCACCAGCACGACAAACGAGAACAACAATGTGTTGGTATGAGACCCAGTCGCTGTCGCCTATCCTTCCTCCCGCTGCAGCTTTTTACTGATCCTTTTCGTTGAGAGGTGAGAATGGGATGGAGCTCGAGCTCACCTAAACTGTTCGGTGACAACGTGCAAAAACCCTAAGAGCAAGATGAACCTCAGCACAAACCTGTAGATGAGCTCGAAAGCACGGACGGTGAAAAAAATCAGAAAAATCGTCAATAGTAAGGAGTTCAAGAGCGAGGTCATGCTCACACTCTTCTCGCTACCACGGAAGTGCATCTCGAGGTCAAAAAAGTGGTCTACATCCTCGGCTCATACTGCTGCTGCTGCTGCGGCTGCTGATTATGATGCTCTCAAGTCAAACACTCTCGCACCTAACGAGCAGCCCACTCATGCCTGCCTACTTTACATCAAAAAGACTTTGAACACATCTCTCTCCACACAACGTCAACGATGAGCTCCCGCGGGCCTGTCTGTCTGCCTGCTTACGACAACGACAAATTTCACGCAAATTTGATGAAAACCCAATTCGGCCAGCCAGCAGACGGTCCCGTCTTCTACTTCTGCAGACGAAGGGAGAATTCGCGCGGCAGGTGCTATCAAAAGGCCAACATTGTGGAATGTTATCTGGGCTGGTCTTGCGGGGGAAGAGCGAGGTTTGGAGACAAGGAGGGGATCGGAGGGATAAGGGGAGACCGACTGCAGGCATCGAGAATGGAGGAGCTGAGGTCCGTAGTACGGAACAACAACCTTCCCTTGGGTGGTGTAGGCTGGTGCAGAGCTTGCAGAGCACTGACTGGCAAAAGTGAAAGTTCGAGGTCGTACAATGACAGCAAACTGACAGAAGCCTTCATGCTCATCAGGCTCCACAGTCGCAGGACGGACATTGTGCATGGATCTGGTAGGATAATACCTGTATGAGCATCCGTGGTTCACTCTCAAATTCTTCGATACTTCCACCAAATTACAGTTTGAATGCCATGAGAGCATATATCACCTTCCGACGATTAGTTCAGTTCTGAAACCTCTCGGCAGTTTCATATTATGTTTCATATGACTACATTTGAAAACCAAGTATTCGAAATGAAGAACCACTCCCTTTGAGTGCAGAGAAAAAGAGAGCAGTGCATCAAAATCATGCCGTTGACTCAAATTTGACCATTCTACGTGACAACAACATCACTGACAAATGGGTTCCGCTTGGGCATTTGATATTCAAAAGCTTCGGATTTCACGAGGTCGTATCCTCGGATGATATCAGCTGAACTATGAGTTCATAACTGAGTGAACTGTATTTAGTGTTTAAGATAATTATTGACAAAGCATGTGGATAATTTGGACGGAGGAGGAGACAGTGAGTCGACTGCTAGATGAAACCACGTTCATGAGAGCATCCCCAAACTTTGGAGCGTGGAAAGCTAACCCAGTGAAAGACCAGGATCGCCATGTCGCCACTGCGAGAGGTCCGAGGCCCGATGTGCTCAGAGCTACTCTGACCGCCTCCCTCGGCACCCAACAGCGACCTCAGGGGTCCTGACATAACAGACCAACAAGAATAAAATAACAATTATGAGTATCAGCACGTATCTCACGATGGCAGCGTGCCCTTGAGAACAAAAGTGCTTGCCTGGACGTCTTGTACGAAAGCCTCTGAATTGCGCTAACCTCTAGCACCTGAGTTGGCTGCTGATATTTTCTTCTCACGATTCTCACCCAACAAACCAACTCCTTCACACAAACTTGTACTGTTACGAAACAGCCGAGTCGAAGTATTCTAGTATAAACGATCTGAATAGGGAATGGTAGTTGAGCAATAAAAAGGTTGAAGTTTCTCTTAAATATGATTACTAAAGAATCCATCTAATAATTGATTCCTCCTAATGGAGTTCAGGACAGTTGTAATAAATATATTCCGTGATCATTCACAAGATGTGATGGAATCAGTGGATCAGTAAATCGACAACCATTACCACAGGCTTGTGACGTGAAAGGGTCCATGATGTGAACACGTGATTCCACTCCCCACCATTTGGGCATGCGGACTGCACTGAATTTGAGTTCCACCCGAGCCGTTATGTATAGTCCCACATCGAAGTTTCGGTACGTCCTATCTCTACGATCTTCGATGCATTCCGTAGTTTAACAGAATAGTATACGGTCCTAGAATGATATATTTATTTGTACAGTTGAGTATTACTGAAAGATTCGCCACCGTATTGATCTGATCGTTATGCTCACGTCAGGAGTTTATGTTATTCAGACGAGTAGCAACTACGAACCCGATTTCAACCGCAAGAATGTTCTCGATGACTCTGTATATTCACAGAGAAAAGTTTCTGGTGTTTGTGGACCTTGTCAGCAGCTTGGAGAGAGAAAAATGAGATTGTTTCACCTCACCTCTCCGTCCATCTCAAAACTTCCAAACAGGGCAGCGTTCATTTCCCAATGAACCTTGGGTAATTGTGGATTCTATACTGCAAGCATCCATCCAAGCCTCCTCTTCTGACATCAAAGACATGCGGTCCCGTATTAATATGTAACGAACTGTCTCTATCGTCGTCTTGCAAAAATGTGAATCAATCAGGGAAAGCTGTTTCTGCGCTGGCTCTTTGTTGACTGCATGCAGGCCCCAGACTGCATGCTGCTGCATATACAACAACACTTACCTTGGGAGGCTTTCAGGTCTGAGTCGTTTGCAGCACAATATTTTGGGCCCAGAGGCCCATCAGGTGGAGAATCGGCTGCTAAATTTAGCGTGGCTGACTGCCGGACGCGTTCTGGGACCAACTCTGTGCTGTTTTTGATGCCACTGCGTCCAATCGTGAACATGCACGACATAACGTTCCTGTCGTTGTGGAGAAAGGTGGGGCACTGAGTACAAATAGCAGCGTTTGTACTGTCAATCGAGATCTGAACTGGATGGGCCGGAAGAGGGGATTCCCGTGCTGTCAAAGCTTGCAGAGGTGGTGCTGGACCAGGACATTGGACACTGCTGATGGGGTTTTGTCGACTGACGATGCCTATTTGTCTGAACCATCTCAGTGACCCTTCTTTTGAGATAATGGTCGGTTCTTGTCGTGAGTATAAAAGATCAAAGCATTGGATTAAGTCCGTTTCCAGCAATATATACAGCTCTCGACGTGTACAACTAAACAGCTGACTCCTTGTGACGATTTGAGGGCCATGCAAGCCTTTTAGTGAAAGATCCAGGTCGGATGATTAATCTCTCTCTCTCTCTCTCTCTCTCTCTCTCCTCATTCCATGAACTCAGAAATCACCTAGATGTCACCCACAAGTCGTAAGCAGCTGTTCTGCTTTCTCAAGCCTAGGCATAACTCTTTGTAGTCCTACCAGAAAGGTCATCACTGCGTATTCTCCATGGGTTCCATCGATGCTAGTATCTGTACGGAGTTCCAGAATTCTGGAATCCCTTGAGATATTTTGTTCCTGACGATGGGTACTTCCCCCACCGTCACCCCAGCAGGCTAGATAGATTCACCAGCTGAATCCTCAATTGTCCAGAATTTTGTCCACTGCAACAACTCAAGCTCTGTTTTTCCAACCTTTTGGTAGACTGACAGAGAAGCACTGGTCAGACGGACGGACCGAGACAGACAGAGACCATGGCCACTTTCACTTCATAGTAAGAAACCAAGGTTTGCAGTCTGACAGCAGTAGAAGGACTGCCACTTCTCCTGTGGTGCTCTTGCATGTTAAAGACTACAGCCAATTGGTTTCAGAGCTACAATCAAATAGCACTATGTGGATCCAGTACAGAATGTCTGTCTTGGTCTTTCTGGTGAAACTCCAATAAGTTTGGAAATTCTCATTTTGGCGGACTGATTAAGAAAATGACCTCGATTTCTCGATCTTCTGGGCTCAGAAGCCCAAAAAGGTAAGCATTGTAAACAGAGGGGTACAGTCAAGAAATCTGTTTTTTTTATCTTAGAGGAGAAAAATGTTTGAACTTGAGACGCAGTCTACCCTTCATACAGTGAAAATCTCGTGGATTCAATGCTTCGGTTTTAAGAAGCTCTTGGAACCTCGCACAGGGTACTCCTTTTACCCTTTGTCTTTGGATTATCTCCTCAAATCAATCACACTGATGTTCATACGATGGATCACAGCTTTGCAAGTGCTCAAGTGTTGCTCTTAGCCAATTTTAAAAATCTGGGTTGGTGTACTTCTCAGCCCTGCTCAGGAGCCTTCTAGCCTAATCCACAAATGTGCCATATGATTTCATATTGATACAAATCCGAGTTATTGTGCTTACAAAGTCCAGGCCTTGCTGAGCCTATACTCACAAGGTAGAAGACCCATCATCTCAACAGACGTAATTGAGTGAGCTGCCGGATCATTGCTTTAGAAGATGATGGACAACACATGGCGCAATATTCCTTCCTTTCGGCACAGACATCGTAACGAACCATTCAGGCAAAGGTGGAATCCTCCACTTCCAAGTTCAGGCCGTAGAGTTGCAATGAGTTATTAGGGTCGTCGAACAGATGTCCACCTTTTTTGGTTACTGCTTTAACTTCCTTCGCTGATGGTGGTTGTAGAACATAAATTTAAGAAAAGACCCGCTCTCTATCCTCTTGAAAATCAGCGTTCTATCTGCCAAACTAACCGTCATAACGATTCGCTTGGAGAGTGCAAAGAATCTGAGATTTGTGAAGATGAGCTTATATGATAAGAGTCCATATAGTGTGAGGGGCTTGGAAGCTATGGTTTCACGTAACTTGGAGCAATTACGATCATTTCGGGTCTGACTTGGGTGACATTGACAAGAAAGATTCTGATAAAAGTTTGTACTGAAGTATTCTTGATGTAAGTGTTGAATACGTGTAAACTTGATTAAGGCTTGCCTGGGCTGCGGACCTGAGCTTTGGCATCGGCGTTACCGACGGTGGTGAATTTTGTAGTAGAACTAGTACGAGTATATCCAACGTAAAGGTCGATAAGACTAGGGTGGCACAGTGGACAGCGAAAGACAATTAGAGAGCAAATTCTTCAGAGAAGAGGCAAAACTATTCGTCTGCTGGTTCAAATACTCTCACGGAGTTTTCAGGTAGAATCTTGGAGGTCCTCGTGGCAAAGCTATCTCGAATGGTAACTCAGTGATATCAAGGAAGAAGCACGAAACTGATGCCTCCATAGACTTTCACAGATCTGAAAATAAATCGAAGACGCTAATTGTGTTCCTGTCGAGTTTACGAGACATACTCACCTCTTACATTCTAAGGTATTCACCGGTAACTCTGGTAACGGAAACCACTCACGGGTTCAATCACAAAGTCTCCAACTCACTAAGCATACAAGACAGTCCAATTCGTGTCCCGTCCTTTTCACTCGGGTATTTATTCATCACGTACTGCTTCCAATGTACTCGCTCAGGTTTTATTAAGAAAAACAAAGCGCAATCTTGATAAACGTCAGTTGAGCAGTCAGAAGCTCATTTTCGGAGTTTTTATTAAGGAAAACAAAGCGCAACCTCGATGAACGTCAGTTGAGCAGTCAGAAGCTCATTTTCGGTTTGAAGTGAGAAGGGATCCTAAACGTGGCAACAGGAAAAGGTTCCTCGTCACAGTGCTATCGATGACCACTCACTGACTGCATCATTAAGTATGATAGGAGTTGCTCGGAGGGGTGAACATTCTGGAAGACAGTCACTATACCGGAATCTTAAAAAAATGAAGAATGCTGTTTTCTCATACCCACGGCGGTGGAATACAACTCTGCAATAGATTCAAGGTATCAGAAAAAGGATTAGATGTCACGACCGTTCCAAGTGCGTCTGCATCAGTTTCCGAGTTGAGCTTATCGAGCCAGAAAACTGGGTTCCTCCTCCAGTCTTGGAAATTCTGTTGCACATGCGATCATGATCAAGTAGAGCATTTTCCACGCTGCATTCAGGTTTTTCTGGACGGAATTGTATCCAAATAATTGGCAGTGTTTCCGAAGTTTCAGGACAGTGTCAGCTTTCGCTCCTGCAGCGCAAAGGTATTTTGGTTCCGATACCAAGATTTCCATCTTCCTGTGGACAATCTGAAAAGTACACCTAACCGAGACTTTGGGAAGAAGGCAGATTCTTGCGTAGGCGAACATCTCTGTCCAGCAGCCATAAGATTCAGCCTTCTTCCCAAGGTTCCAGGTTAGATATACCTTTCCCTCGGTATTCATCCTCATCTCTGACTATGTGCCAATGATCATGCAAGGTTACTGACCAAGATCAGCTAAAATGAATTATGAAAGAGGTCCCATCTGAAGCAGTCTGACCATCATTAGCACGTGTTCACCGCTACAAATCAAAGCTCAACCATGGATACCAAAACCCGTTCACGGTGACCATGAATGATCTGTGTGTTGAAGGATCATTCAAATTCATACATATGTATACATGTATATATATGAACGTGAATGATACTTCATCACACAGGATTGATATACTCTGACCTGCAAAATACGTTCAGATAAGAAGGAAAAGAAGACAAGGCAGCACTTGAGGTAGATAGATATTACGAAGACACAGCGTAGAGGTCATGGTTGAAAGTTGAAAGAAGAAGGATCAGCTAATTTTTGAACTTACAGGGAGAACTTGTGAAGAGCAGTAGGCCACATTGAGACGAGTGTGCTGAACAGTGTGCTTCTCCTGAAAGTAGGAAAGAATGCTGATTCAAGAAGACGGGGTATCCTCACATGGGAAGAAGTCTCTACGAAACCAAGGGATCGAGGCACCAGCAACGAGTCGAACTTGCTTCGAGTAGCTGTGCATTATTCCCTGGATTTCAGGAGAAAAATTCTGTATGACATTCACTCGGTAACCCGAAGATGATAACTCTGCGACTTCATCGAGGCAGCATTCTTTCCTCGATTTCAGGAGACACACATCATTCGTTTGGTCGTGTCCAGGTGATAACGCAGCTAGCTGCCCCACATGCCCTTGAAACTCTAGTGCAGCGAATGGAAGAACCATATCTGACCGAGAAATTGGAAAGAAGCCAGATCCCACGAGACTGCTTTTAAGTCCTTAACGGCTATCAGTCTTCTTCCCACGTTTCCAGGTAAGGTACGATTTCTGCATGAAGGCAGATGTCAACCGTGTGGCTGCCGAGCAAAGGGAACACGGCGGTCATGAGTTGTTGGGGGATCAGAAAGAATGATCCCCCCAACAACTCATCTCAAGGAGGAACATCGGACTTCAATCTCCCGAACGTCACACAGCTAAAGCAGAACAAATCGAGATGATCAAACTTCACTTCCATGAGAAGGTTAATCTTCATACCTGACGTCATATTTCGACTGCCCAACCCTGAGCATGAGAACGCAGTGATAGATCTGGTGATTACAATCTGGAGATATCTACACACTCGAGCACGTCATATCGTCACACGAGCACGCAGAAGTACTCTGAAGAGCATACAGCATTTCAGCCACATCCAAACCTAGATCAAGTGACCATCCCATTGAGGAGACTGTTGACATATAAGACGAATATTGCGTACTTGAGAAAGAATCCCCTGAATTGAATTGACAATGCATCTTGTCAAATGCAAAATAATTCCCGATAAATTTCAGAGGAGAATTGTAAGACCCAGACGGAGATCTGCTCGGGAACAGTATGGAGCACAGAGGGAGAGAATGGGCCAAGGGAGGCCCTCTCCAGCGACGAGGTCATGGATCCAGTAACAAAATCTCAGCTCGTAAAACCCGAACCCTGCCCTCTGAAGAGCATCATACACACACTGACTGACTGATGCGTGCTGTAACAAGGGACTGGAGGAGGAGGAGACATGTAGAAACAGGCGATCGAGCGCCCATTATATGCGGCTCCAATGGCAGATGGAGACATTTCTGCAAAAGGGAAAAGCGTAGTGGGTGCAGGAGCAGCAGCAGCAGCAGTCTCAGATGTCTCATGCGATGATTCCAGGAACTAGAAGACTCCCAAATCAAGACACACTAATTAATGAGCACAACTTTTTTTAAATGACAAGACCGAGATGGCACGGCACTCCCTTTTACTTCACGGAAAGGAGAGGCAAGGCATGGCAAGGCAAGGTATCACTCACCTGCCTGTCTGCCTGCCCGCCCGCCCTGTCCATGTCCAACTGGCTGGCACTCGGAGAGATTCACGCGTTTTCACAGCCTCATCTTCTCCTCCTCCTCCTCCTCCTCCTTGTCCTGTCACTGGCTCTGCGTTCGATCTTCTTGCAGCAGCAGCAGTAGCAGCAGGGAGAGGGAGAGTGAGCGACACGAAGGAAGAAGGGGCCTCCAGATTGGGATCCACAGTGCATGAACCTGCATTCCTGAAGTCACAGGAAAATTCAGAGCCACGAGTACGGACATGGAAAATAATTCTTTAAGACCGAAGGCGGGGACTCATAGAGCCTGGGTAGCGGTAGCAGCTGCATCTGCCAATTGTCGCACTACAGATTTAAACCTACCCCTGAAAACGAAGCTACGTTCCGGTCTGCAGTACGTTTCTTCCAGGTTTCTGCTCTGCTCTTGACTTGACCTATGGCCTCCTCCCGACAATTTTACACTTGATCTTTTACAAGCAGTTGTGCTCTGTCAGGACAATATAGGACACTGGAATTCATATTCTCTCTCTCTCTGGACTGCTCGCAGCAACGAGCACTGGAATTGTGGGGTGATTATTATAGACTCTTTGACTTACAATCTCTCGTTTTCAGATGGTCGACCTTTGCTGTAGCTTTCCTTAAAACTTTGAGGCATCAATGTTTAGCATTCATATGGACGGTACTTTGCATTTTTCCTTTGTTCCTTAGGTTTAGATGAACTTTCCTCCTACTCTGAGGAGTTCTCAAAACAGTTCAGAGAAAGAAGTAGCTCCTCCACGACGAATCCAACTCCTCCATCCGCATCAGCTGATTGGATAACGCATAGATCAATAACGAACGGTTTGAAACTCGTTGAAATGCTTCTGATCTAAACTCTTCGGTTCTCTTCCGATCGTCGGTAAAATTAAAGAATCTACCACCATTGAGGTCTGTCCAGCACGCGAAGGGTCAGTAAGCTCGTCTGCTTGTCCACATCATGCAGCGCTTAGAGTAAAATATAAGATCGGCTTGCAGGCGTGCATGCATCCTCAAAGCTTTTCAGGACACAGGAGGGTCCTGGCGCGACCAGGTGGATAGCTTTCGACAGCCTTTGCCAACGGAACACTCTGCCAGATATCTATGCTGCCTCGATCCACCCTTCACCCTCTGATTGACTGCACTATGTGATCCTACTCTGCATTTCACGCATCTGAATCAAGTCATGACTGTATGAGATTTACCATTCAACATTCAGTCAAAACACCAAATGCATGTATGAAGAACGTATAAGATTCATGGGACTCCGGGGGTTCTCCACCATTCGGCTTTTCGCCACATCTGGCTCGTGGATCCGGTGCCTCCCGTTACACGAGAGTGAGCCAAACCGAGACAGCTCGTCTAGCAAGGCCAGACTCTCGTCAGCTCCGGTGAGTATGAGCGTACTCTCATACGATGTGAGGAAGGGAAACAAACTGCGGGAGGAATCATTAGCTGCCACCTTCGCCCATGGTGGCTTGTCGATATTTTGAAGTGATACAAGATATGGTAGCATGGATCTCTATGCCTTGAGGTTTCCTCTGCCCTCAAGGAATAGAGATCCACGCTACCTCATCCCCTTGTCACTGGTGTGAAGAGTGGTTGTTAATTCATCGAGCTATTTTCCTGTCCCACACCAAGCTTAGGATCCCTCAAGTGCATCAACTGCAGGCATCTGGAAGCAGAGCAGATTGAAATCAACGAATGGACGGATTTTACAGTCCCGCTCAGAAAAAATCCCCCGACAATCGTATCTGAGGAAGCTTGCTAGCATCTTTGGCGAGACGTTTGCTCCTGCATTTCCTGCTTCCACATACATTAGATCGATCCACTGTTGACAATATTGAGTCTCTGAAAGTTAACCACATCGCATCCATGCGGTAAATCCCAACAGTCTTGCCTGCGTCTGCGCCCGGATCCCTAGTCCACTTCTCACAGGCTTCTCAAAAGATGTGCTATCCTGCACACAATGCACTTAAGTTGCAGCAAAGTGTGATACAACAAAGATCATGATGGCTGGCCAGCTGCGAGGGATGGAGAAAGCACATTTCTTGCTCCTAGAAAACCATGCGAATCTAGTACGAAACAAGCTTCATGGTTAGAAAAATAATCTTTGTTGAAAGGGGACTTGTAGAATATAACGCCTTTCTGCTGCTCGTGAATGGCCACAATCAAATGTTTACTTAGAGGAAGATGCTGCAAGGACGGGGGACGTTATAGAGGTGACGAGGTGAAGGTACGTCGGTGGTGATAAAGAGATATCTACTTGGAATCAGTAGAAGTGAAAGAAGTGCTCCGTAGAGGACAACCATCGGCATCAAGCAATCTGCTTTGACAATCTCAAGCTTTAGTCAGGGCCACTTTCACCATCCCATAAGCTAGCTACGAAGCCTGGCACTAAAAGCGAGCATTCCTAAAAGAGTCAGAGAAATGTGGCCTAATAAATGTGGCTAAAATAGAAAGTGTCAAAAACCGTCTCTGGATATCTGCGATCTTGTTTCTATACTATAAGTAGGATCTGATCCAAACTACCGCGGCCTTTGTCTTTGGTTGCCAGCCAGCCAGGACTCTCGATTCAATTTCCTCCTGTATATCTGAATATCTGACCTTGCTTGGATACACTGCAGCACTAGTCCTGTGTGTCGAACACACTGTAATGTAAGCACTATCCAACTGGCCAGCTTCACACACTTTCTTTGTTTTCATGGTGTTGAGAACAAAATTCAGTAAAACTTCTTCCTGCTCTTCCAGTGCAACTTAGATTGCCTAATAAAATTGTCGAGTAAGATCCAGCGACCCGAATATTCATACGAGCAAATATAAAACTCTGGTATCTTTGATTATCATGTTTTTCATGTTTCCAGAAGAGTTACAGTAAGAATTTCCCGATTCCTTCCGGAGTGTGCCCGTTGGATAGCCATGAGTAACCACTTTTCTCCTGGCTCCATCTGCAGCAAAAGTTGTCTGTTCTCTACTGGTTCAACAGTCTCTCGCTGTCCTGTTCCTAGCCTAAGCCTGCCCCAATGCGTCCTCACTACCCACCACATGCATCGAAACGCTCTCAATTTGCCGCCATGTGTAGGGACATGATGGAACACACAACACATGTAAGCTTCGAATGAGGACATCGACAAGCGAGCTGGTCTGCTGATTTGGTGATTGTATTTCAATGTAAAGCAAATGTGATCGAGGATGATGCATCCACGCATGATTTTCTGGACATGCCAAAAGCCTGTCTCCGAAAGCTTCGGCCTGGATGCTTTACTTTACCTCAAAGTGATGTTAGTGTCCTTTCTTTTGGAAAGTTCAGGAACACCACTCGTGGTAAGGGAGATGAAATTTCTTCCAGTGACTGAAAATATATCCCCAAGAGATTCAAGGATGTGCATGTGCAATTATCTCCGCAAGGAATCAGCATCGGGATTAAAGAACGCCTCACCTGAAAGCTGATCTCGTTTGTTCTAACAGTGAGCCTACGAGTCCTCAGGGTGACGCACGCGGCCGAATGAACCAGACCACACTGACATTCAATCAGTAGACTGAACAAAACCTCAATATAACAACTCAGCGAGGGGCTCACAGAACCCTTTGACAGACTGTAAATTCGTGAGGTAACAGAGTTCAACGTAAAAACCTCTCAGTTTAGAATCAATTTTGCTGCTACATTCTGATTTTCCTTTTGCATAAGTCTATCAACCTTCCAGTCGATAGAATCAATCCAACTCTACTGGAAAAGCCATACAATTCGTCCAGACTAGCTAGTGCCCAAGTGCACAATGAATATAAAGTTTGAATAAGTAGCTCGCTCGCTTTACTTCAGACGACTCCCTTATGGCCAAAAAGATGTGTGGCATCTTTGGCCATACTTGCATGATTGAAGTAAAAAGAACAGCGCTCACATCTGCAGCCGTGATACCGTCTACTTCAGAATATGATTCCGAATGATGTTGGAGGCATGATTGATTGAAGCCGATTTTAAGACGATCATTGAACCTGGAGAATTTGTTCCTTCCAACTCTTTGCCAGACACTGCAACGAATTGTAATAAGTGAGCTGCCTTTTGGGCAGCACCACCAGCCCACAAGTTTTTCATGTCGATGCCCTCCCGAACTGATTCCTAGTCAGTTTCAAGCTCCCTTTGATTCGTAGAAGGTTAACCAACGGAATCAGTCAAACGCGGCCCCAGAGTTCCACCGCTTGCTCACATTATCGAAAGAAGTGAGCCCCTTCAGTACCGAAAGGCAGACGACTTTTATGACGGAGTTCTGGTCTTCTAAAGCTGTGCTGTAATGCTGGGGACCAGCAGCAGATAGCATCAGGCAAAAATATAACGAGTGTCTTTGTACAGGAAGAAGTCAATGTTCCTACTCACAAGTTTATGGATACCTCCCAAACATAGTCTTGCTGTCTATTCGAGGCTCTTTTCAATAACGTTGCAGCTGAGATGAAATTTCCTCTTGTATTAATCGAATTTATTCCGACCCACATGTGAGATCTCGACGTGCTACTTCGTGCTGGAAAGAGGGGCCACTAACATTGGAATTGCCGGAAACAGTAGAATGCCATGCCCTTAATTCCGTCGGAACTCTTACCTGCAATACCTGCTCTCAGCATGACATTCTTCCAAGGATGGGGGCACAAATCGTACATGTGATTACAGATACTTCGACCGACTAAATTTTTGATCTCGGTCACAAGGCCTCGCAAGATAAAACAGTCAAGCTTATACTTGCCTGAAAAACTCAGTTCTCTGAATAGAGAGTTTACCAAAGTCGATTAAACACGATTCACGTAATTGCTTCTTCTCTCATATACACGGGGCATTTCCTGTCGAGATGAATATATATATCTTGTAAAAGGCGGTAGTGCAATGTGAGCTTTAAGCTTGATGAACCCAGTCTTGTCTCGAGCCCATTGTAACACCCTCTAGTGATAAGTATGCATGTCGTCCGATGAGTGAAGTATCCATCCTTCGAGTAGATCTAAAGAGGGCGTCGAGAAGACTACAGGCCTCTCCTTCAGAATGCTTCTGAAGGATGGGACTTTTTTACACCAATGGCTTCCACCTGACCTCGAGTTGGTGACGTCGTTGTGAAACTGTCCATGCTCTAAGACGCGTGAAATATGAAGAAGAAAATGAAGATATCTCTCACCTGAAGATGATGTGTTGTCCATCTGATAAGGACTTCACTCTCGGTTCTCCGATGAAGGCCCATACATCGAGAGCTACCAAACACGAGCCCAGCATGTGAAGTGGGTTTTGAGGAAGCGGCTGGGAAGGAAGAAATTACATCGGGTCTTCGAAAATTGAGGATATGATCAGTTTCATATCTTCTATAGATTTTTATGTCCTCTTTAGGGACACATGACACGGAGGGTTGGAGGAAAGTTGTGTAGACTTTTCTTTTGAATGATTTTCCATCGTTGAAGTTGAATCCGCCACTCTGCTGCTGACACAAGTCATCGAGTGAGATCGGAACTAACTGAACAGAACAACGTCAGAGAGGACATACACTCTCGTCTTAAACCTTCGATCTGGAGAGAAAACGAGTGCTTTGCAGGAAAGATCAAGTCGCAAGGTTTTGAGTAATGGGGGATAAGCAACCACCGTCAGTAGAATTTAGTACGTCGAGTGAAAGAAGAACTTTCCACGTCGTCATGGTGAAGATTTGCGGCTGATTCCCATCCTCTGAGTGTGATCGACATGATTTCACCATGCTCTGCAAGATTCGTTCTGAATGTCCTTCTGTACGGAATTCCCTCGTACATCTTGAATCACATTTCTGAGATCCTGAACGGAACTTCTTCCTCGATACATCCGAACTGCCAATCGAGGCAACGCGTCTCTCTCAGGCATAATCTTATTCTATTCAACCGCGGGCCTACAAAACACGACACAGTTCTATTGAGTCTACCTTTATACTCTTTGTAGCCTCTCTGGGTCGAGAGAAAAGATTCAACTCTGCGATGGAGGGGCCCTCCCACTAGCAGTAGGTTCAAGAAGAGGGCTGTGGTCGTCCAACGTTCGGAAGTGTTAATCTTCGGAGCAATTGAAGAAACTGAATTCCTGAAGTGACACCGCAGTGAAAAGCGCCTGCCGAGTCCAATTGAACATCTTCTTTCCCTTAAGGAAATTGAACCAATTAATATTATAGTACGTTGAGACTTCATCAAGCTATCCTTCGATCAATCCAAAAGCTTAAGATGGTGCTAGCTCCCGACAGTATCACCTGATAGCTAACTTTCTAGGTCCAAAGGTCTAGATACTACTAAAGGGAGCATTTGAATAAACATCACATATAAAGTTTGATTGCTTCATTGTGTTGATCGTGCATGCTAGTCATTTTTTACAGCAAAGGATACATACTGAATGAGCTAGTCTACGCAATAATCTGAAGAGTATGAAACCCCAGGTTGCACAGTAAGTGAGACTCTCACCAACTAATCTGTCCAAGTTTCCGAAGTTGAGTCCTAGGTCCATACAACTCTAGAGCAAAGGGAACAACTTGTGCATAGCAATGGACTTGGAGACTTTCTCTTCTGCAACTCCACTCACTCCCAACAAGAGAAGGATATTATAACACAACGTATACAACATTAACCTGGTGTGCTAAACTCAAGTCAGACCGCAAGGCATATTAAGTCAGTATAAACAAGATATACACACAATAGTGCGATTGCAAACATCAACTCTATAATTGGAAGCTATATATGCACTCCTAACAAGCATATAGATCACTACAATATCTGTACGAAAAGAGTGCACATAGGAAGACGTCATCAAGCCTAACCAGTAACGAAACCAACGAGAAATCAAGGGTTAGGCCCGATAGCATGGTGATAAGATGTAGATTCTACAACCTTTGTAACTATCAAAGGCAAACAAGTTACGAGCATCTCATGCCCCATCACATGATGTGATTGTCCTCCTATAGTGCTGTCTAATACTTTCTATATAGGAATGGAAGCACAATAACAAGTACTCTGTATCTACTATAATAGTTATTGTTTTCAGCTCCTTACACACATGTAGAATTGCACATTATGAACTCCATATCACTTCAAGTCTATATCTCAAAGAATGTATGTGCATGAACAAGACGTAACGAGAAAAATATGTAATGGAGGTATATATGAGAAAAAAAAATATGGCCTACATGTAGTGACATATATGCAATTGCCTTGTAGTGGTGGCTACCTTCATTGGAAGCGAACGAAACAGAATTCAGGAATAGTTGGGAAAGTTTTTCCAGTTCGATGATCCGAAGGTATTCAGTCTATTCCACGAACTTTGATCCAGAATGAGGTGAGAACATTCCATTACCAAAAGGTGATGTCAATGAAATTTTGTGACAAAAAAATCCACAACTTCTTCATATATCATATGTGAAGATCTCAAGCAAAGCATTGGATCTTTTGCCACCACATCACGTTGAACAGCTCACACACTGAAAAGGGATGCCCTAGCTTATCTCTACAATTGGACCAACTGTCTTTGCCGTGGCATGTTTATGTTAATACAAGTAATAACATATGGACCTGGCCATCTGGACAAAAACGAATAATTCTCCAACGTCGACAAGATCATGCCTGCCCCATGTCCGAAATACTGTCAAGTCAAACCTCCATGAAAACATGTCACCAACACACCGGTGGGTGTCATTTACAGCAAAATCTTCACGACACAGCACCAACTAGCTCGAGTAGGTAAGAAAAACCGATGACTCGTGCCAAGCCGAGGTAGAAAAATTACGGCTCTCGGCCCTTTCTTCAGATCATGTTAATTAAGTAGATGGTAAGATAGAAATCCAGTACGGGAGGGCGGAGCAGCAGCAGAGGGACGCTCAGAAGTTCCAGATGTGGGTCAGAAACGAAACGCAGGCATTGCCCGAGAGTCGTGGAGATGGTTACAGAAGGTCGAGGTCGAATGGAAGAGGCCCCCGGGTCCAACTCTCGACCACTGATTGCGTTCGGTGTCTGAGCCCCCAGTCTTGGCACATCAGGCAAACCATCACTGACGCACCCTTGAGACAACCAACGAACGAACGATCGATCTAAACAAGACAAAAGTAGAGAGAGAATATGTAGCAGGTAAGCACCACAATCATGATCTGAGAGTTCCAATGAAATTCAGGCTTGCAGACAGACAGATTGATGTCCAATTGCAGCGGGAGTTGGAGTACATCGTGTGCAGATGCTTCTCATGTCCATGTCAGAACACGCTCACAGAGGGATAGAACTTGCAAGATCAGAAGCAGAGACGGACAACTGGTGTCATCCTCTCATTCCTCAGAAACCTTCTCTTGAGTAGTGGATAGTTTAGATCAGTTCCAAGCACACAGTGAAACCCGACCAAATGCATGATAGACATGGGCAGCCGAAGTGGATCGAGCCATTCACCGACGAGAAAGAGAGTTCCACTCGAAGCAGGATATTTTCCATTTTCAAACAGACCCGACGAGAGACAGGAGCTTGGATCATTTCGAGCTCTGCTTCGCTTGACGATCTATCAATCGTTAGCTTTGAATCCAAACTGATGGAGAAGCATTGGAGAGTCGGATGTGTGGGCAGATGCAATATATTATTCAGAGGCCTAAGGAGATCACCAGTGTCCTGGTGCCAGTCGGTGGGTGGGGAGTGGCGGGGAGTCCCTCGAGGCACTGAAGAAGCCTGAGCCTCAGAAATAGAGAAGAGAAGAAAAAATATATTTTTTTTTAAAAGGAAGACTCGCTCTCTCCATCCCTTTGTTGTAATCATTGGAAAAAGTCGATTGCGTTGGGTTGCGGTCAGCGATGGCATCGTCGTACCTCAATTCAAACTCACCGACCGACTACGACCCTTCTCACTCAATAATAAAATATTGCCATCCAACTTCTCTTTGAACGCACAATTCTTGCATGAATCGTGTCTCCTTCTCTTTTTCTTCTCCTCCTCTCTCTGATCCTAAACGTGCATCTGAGGCCAATGAGATCATTCTCCCTCCAAAAAGTGCGAGAGGATTTCAATCACGACCACATGCTTTGAATTGCTAGTTGTTGAGAATCACGTGATGGCGTACGTCAAGCCAAATGAAACCAACTTCTTTTTCCCGTAGCATTGAGCTTTAATGCTTACTCTATTTTATACAAATTCTGTCTCCAATTGAGACAGAATCTCAGTGCAAACCTTTTTCACTCCAGTTAATACCCAGCAGCAAATTATTTGACAAGGCAGGCGACCACCTCGGCCCTAGAAAGATTCAGGATTCATGCATGAGTTAGATCTAAATCGCAGTTTTTTTCCGTAATTGCTAAAGTCTGAGGCAAGAAATCGTGGCTTCCAGGAAAATCAGTTCTCTGAGCTGCCAATTTCATTAAACACTTGTTGCTTCTGGAACTGGTAGCAGATCAGAATTTCAGCTGCTGATGAAACAAAGCAAATATGTTCAAAAAGTGAGTCTTGTACATATTGCATTGTGGAAACGTAAGCTTGTCCTACGATTGCTGTCTTTCGTCGGACCTATCTCACTTACGAGGATCTCGTAATCGATTTCCCACTTATCAAACCATAGTCGCTAAGAGCTGTGAACTGCGCTTCGTTTGAACCATAAACAATCGCTCGTCCACTGCACTGTATGATGAATCCTGCGGGTTCATGAATGTGTATTGCTGCCACGCAGGACCAAAGCTTTCGTATCTTCTGTCATGGTCTCTATCGATGGCCTCCCAAGGTACAAGGAAAATTGATCCATTTCGTCAGCCATTCAGTGACAGCAAATTTTGGGTTCTGTGTAACGTGCCAGCCATAGATCACAATTGTGCGGTTTCCATGTGCACGTACACATAATTTGGCTTTTATTTTAAAGCTCACAAATTTCATCCAGACGAGGCGGAAATCTCGGTATTCATCCGTACTGCGAGGCGATTATTAATCGATCACTTTGCAATGACGGATGATCTACGACAATCTCATACGATAGCAGGGACGGCTGTCGACGAAGGCACTCACTCGATCAACGAGCAGAATGTGTATTAGGAGCTCAAAGAGAAAACTTTCCGGTCTTCAAGTCACGAGCCTGCGCTATGAACGAGAGATTTTTCACCACTGCAAGGACAGGCATGCACCCAAAGGCAAGTGCAAGGAAGCTCTCTCTCTCTCTCTCTCTCTCTCTCTCTCTCAGATTCGCTTGCCACCCAGCGAATCTTCTTCGTCTGCCTCTCCCCTGAGCATCAGTGGAGATGGTCACTTCGAGCAGTGAGGGAGAATGGGCACTGGAGATGGCCTTCATTGCCGTTCAAGGCAAGCCAGGCGCAACATCAACGATCTCATAGTCGTTTACTGTCAGACTCGCTGACAAGTTTACAAGGTCAGATCATTTTCCCTTTCAGCTTACCTTTCAGTCTTACATTCCTCCTTTCGTGTAGTTTTGTCACACCATCGAAGGGATTCGTCTCAAGAGCTTGCATGCCGGACTGTGAGAGTACACATCTCTCGAAACCTCTCACGTCGCCCATGAAGAGATCTCGATCTTCTGTTTCCTACAAGTGCGGACATTTTGGTGGCAGCGAGGTCGTGCTTCTTCCTGTGAGAACCCAATTTTTTGGAGACTCTGAGGAAGTGTAAACCTCCCAGATTGGACACGAGAGCCATATCCGAGATGGCCGATTTAGCCATGGCCGGAATTACAAAGTTGGACCTCGGAACTATTCCGATAGTGCATTGACTGCAGCTGGCTCAATTCAATGAAGTTGGTACGTTCGATAAGCTCCCCTGACAAGTGAAGACATTCAGTGAACTGTTGGTGACGAAAGCCGAGACATTCTCGGTTTGGGGATTCCAGTTAGATGTGGCGCTGGACAGTTGGACATTTGTCGTAGTTGTTGTAGTGCTGGACCTGGGAACTCCTTTGGGGTGAGTGGACTGGAATGACTCGGTGCCAGAAATTATTACACCCGATACGTAAGGGGGGGGGGGGGGGGGGGGGGGGGGGGGGCAAAAGGTGTGGCCAGCGATTGCAATCGTTGGGCTCACTCTCATGATCAGCGAAATTACAGATGTGTCGATCCGACATTGCCATTGATTGCACACAAATACCACATATAATCTTGAGAGACTCGATGGCTCTGCAGCCTTTTCAAAGTTACCCATATAGGGAGATATTTCCAACTCAGTGAGTTCTCACAATGGCTGGTTTGATATATGACAGTCAGAGAAGCAGAGCGAAGATCATACGCTCGTCGCTCGTCTCGAGACAGGGTTAGAGAGAATGATATTAAAACCACATTTTACAGATGAGTCTCAGAGCTCAATCATTCGTCAGCAAGATGATAGATCTTCCTTGTTATCTATCTGGCCAGCGAGCTGCAAACCCCTCTCGGTTTGAGAGAGAAATATCCAAGGATAGAAACAGGAAAAGATTGCTGTCCATGGGCCGAAATTTCAGCCGGACCACAATCAGAATTGTAGTCTCAGATTTGCTGAGAAAAAACTACGCTAAGAGAGGAGCATGAAATTCAGGTTGTGACATGGAGAGGAGACACTCAGATTGTATCGACAGATGTACAGAGAACAGGAACCAGTTTTTTCATGGCGGTGCTGAGAATGCTCAAACCCTTGTGTGTGATGTAAGGTGTCAAATCCTCGGAGCTGGACACACAAAAGACCTCAATCTCCGCACTTCACAGGCCGGGACATGGGCTTTTGTAAACACCACAGCCTCGACTACCCTGAACTTATACACTGAACGGAGGCTTTAAGGTCCTCCCCTCACCAACTGGACTCGCTGGTGAAGAAGACGACAAACAAACGAAGCTGCTGGGTATTGTGTGTCAATTCTCGAGTCGAAGAGAAAAAGTGAATAACAGGAAACTGTGGCAAAAGACACCTCTCGAGGCACTGCTGATGAGAATTTCTAAAATCTACTCCTCGGTCAAGATGCTCTTGCACCACATGAAGCACATGGCGACCAATTCTGTTACGATCTGGAACTTCTGCACAAGTTGTGGAGCTGTTGCTGAAGCCAGAGTCCGCCATGGCGCTTCATTCGTGACAGGTGAAACGGATTTGAGAGTGGCATCATTGCGTTGGGACACAGTTGGGGGAATAGAATACTCCCTCTTGCGAGTGTTGTTCTCTTTGACGTCAGGTGAGTGTCTGCCCCTCTGACAGATTGTGTTGCGCATAATAAGGTGGAGGAATAATGGAGTCGCTCATACAGTCTTATCAGTTGCCTCGGTTAGACGTGATGGCCTTTCTCTGGCCAGCAATAATATGGCGCAGGTCGAATGTGAGGACGACCACAGCCAGCGGTGGTCTCGGTCAGTACACCTGTTTCCAAATTGGGACTTCGGTGCCCTTCTCGTCTCCTTGAGTTTTTTTCCTTTTCTATGACAAGGGACCCATCATATACCTCCTCCACCTTCGATCGACTGAACGGTCAGACTCTTCGCTTTGATTCGAGCAAAAGCCTGAAAGATTCTTCTTTGTTTGCCAGAGCCCATCAATTAGATTTCCAAGGCTTTACGTGACTCCACATTGTCAACCTCCTTCTCTGATTCCAGAAATCTTCATGCTTGGGTCAAGGAAAGATCTCAGCCTAGGCTTCAGACACGTCTGACGAGGGTGTGATGTGATCTAACAGCTGACTGTGATTTCTGTATCCTCAAGCAAACTGAGCTCACATCACCAGCAGAAGACAATGTTACAGGTTATTGAGCGAGAATCATCATCTTCAATGATGTCAGAGTGTCATTGAATCAAAAACCTCACTTTTCTTTCCTGAAGCACTGCTCAGCGAACTCGGTAAGTCTCTCGTCTTCAGAAAAAATCCTCATCGGGCAGTCTGTTAGTTAATGTCTTACCATCCACCGATCCATAAGTTTGGTCCTGGTCGTTGACAGTTTTCTACTATTTTTTATTCTCTCTCATGGGGTTTGCGTTTGGCATTTCTGTCCTTGGGCTGTGGACATTGAAATCAGATTTGACTATTTTGGCGGAAGATGACTCATAGCTATGCCTTAAAACAGTTTATACACTGCCTTCCATCAGACATCAAGCCCTGCGAGGAAGTTTGCTCGCTGACTCCAGCAGGTGCAAGAGCGGATGACATTCCAGTGAGGCTAAGTGTGTTGCTCAACATTGTGAGACCATCCATGATCACTCATCAGAAACAAAAATAGTCCTAACCATGAAAAGGCAGGAGAAAATTCCTCTCCGTCCCTTCATTTGGATCCCATAACATGCACTACCCCCTCGATAGCCCAGACCCCATCCCTGCCTCACATTTATCCACTCAATTGGTTTCTACAGTCCTGTTGCTCCCACCGACACACCGATGCGTTATCGATCGAAAGACAGGACGTGAATTCGGGGCCGTCAGAAACTTGGAGACAGGAGCGAGCTAAAAGACGAAAAAATCATTAGCAGGTCAAGCAGAGGAGAGAAGTGTCGACAATTGTGTGAGCGGGACGCAAAATGCGGAGAATAAAATCGAATGCGGCGATTGTTTCTTCCACTAATGGCTCAGAGGGAGCAAACAAGGCAGACTGTTTTACAGTCTCCCATCACGAGGACAGCGATCTGGAAAGTGCACGGCATGAAAGGAACCATTACCGAAGACGAGTGAATGAGGAGGAACGGAATTTGGACAGAGCCAGCGGATGAAGCTAGATAGTCGACGATCGAGAGGTGCGGGTTGAGATTGCTGTTTCTTCACGTGCCTTGTGAGTTCTTCAACCGCCGTCACCACGGCCTCGTGATCCGCCCTCCGGCTTCGAGCTTCACTGCTTTGAGTCTTAGCTGTTCATCTCCAAGGTTGTTTTCTGTCCATTGCTCTCCCTCCCCTCCTCATGTTCGATTCCATGCCTCTCACTTCCCTTCGAGCGCCAGAATTTTCACATCTTCAAGCATTACAGTTCTGGAGCGCACGGACCTTGGATCCACAAGTTTGAGAAAAAAACCTCATATACACTTAGCATCCAAATTCCTTGCAGAAAGCTACATATAGTTTCACATTTTGCATGGTTTCCACATTGTATTGATTAGCACAAATGTTGCAACAAATTACACTAATAACCAAGTCATGAAAATGATATCACAATCAAACCGAACTTGATTTATGTTTTAACATTTCAAACTTTCTATGTCTAATTTAGATAACTTTATTTTTTAAATATTTTTTCCCTCAGAGTTTTTTCTTTATGCACCGCCATATAAATAGTAAGTTCCACGGCACAGAAACTAAGTTCCACGGCCTGCTGGATGCTATCATATCTATGGGCAACTGTCATCAGTGTCACATTAATAACCGCCACATCTCCGACACCAACTACTGGAGGTTACCGTGAATCAAGTGATGATCCGTTGGAACCGTGTTTCCAACCGAATGATGTAGCATCCCTCACTCAAAGCGCTATGTCCAATCTAACGTGCAAGAACATAAATATCGTCTTAGACGTAATCAACAAAATTTTAAATTCTCTTTGTCGACTGTTTCCATGTGATATGTCTAAACCATTTCTCTGGTCGGCAACACAGCTCTTTGCCAGTGTTGACGACATAAGGTAGATGATACAACATAAAGTAATTATTTAGTCATCATATTATTATTTTCATTTGAATAACTTTCTTATTTCTTTACAGTTGATTTTATTGATGTTAATAGTTTCTAGACTATGCTATTCTTCATGTGTCATCACACCTCAATCTGTATAATGAAATCTTAAAGAATACATGTTAGTCACATTTAAATATTTTTAAATCTATACTTGGAAAACACCCAAGTGACAATGCGTCGTCATATGTGCAACATATGCGACTGATGCATGGCCACACTATAAGTTGAACATGCCAGATATTAAGACCGATTCAATGCAAATGCAACCGTGTAATGACAGTAGAATGATCGGATGAATGATCATTAAACTAAAGCAAGGTAAAGAATCTTTATAAAATTCTTCACCCTTGCACCTAAATAGAAGTACAGTGCTCATTACCCTCGTTTTTATTGTACCTTTTAAACATTTTGAAATACGAAAATTTTCTGTCTGATATTCCCTCTGCCTTTCATACAAAATGATGTGGTCTTTCACATCCTCTTGAACATCCTCTGATCCGGAAAACAAAACAAAATTCAATCTATTCGTAACTTGTCCCTTGTTTGGAGTGCTTCCTCCACTCAAGACTTATCGTTTGTTGCGTATGCTTCAACGTTGAAACCTTGTCAAACTGAATGGCATAAGAAAGACAGCACAGAGACTTCTGCCTTGCTGATCCACCTCATCCGGTCTGGAACTCCTGATTCTAGGTAAGCTCTGACGCGTCCACCTTGTGGAGGTTTCTGGACATCAAGCATGCCATCGGGAAGATTTCATGAGAGAAACCTGGATCTAAGTTTCCACAATTTGAGTATCGGGTCTCTCCACCTTAGTCTAACCTCTGAGTCAGATGCTTTTTAGTTTGAGGAATAAGTATCATATTTTTTTCAGCATAGATTACTCCAATTATGAACTTACAAAACCTGCCTCCATGCTGTTCGCACTAAAGGTCATAATCAAATTTCTATCAGTTGCATTTTCCGGTTCATCTCCATCTCTCTGCTCCATTCACCTCCTTTCGTTTGATCTTTGGAATGTTCATGAGAGCTACGTTTGCCATCTTTGCAACTCCAACATCAAGGTATTCAATCTCCAAGTAGACTTTGATTCAATATTGAAAGTATGAAGAAATATTTGAAATTTTAGAATGCAGATATATCACTTCGACGGTAGTTGTAAGATTGTGCAATTGAATTCAGAGAAAAAGTAAAATAAACTTTTGGATCAATTTACAATCTTTTTCAGAAGAAACTAAAATTTGGCCAAGAACTGTATTAGATTATCTAAGTTGCTAGAGAAAGTGTTTATGCTCTTGGTGAAGAAGAAATATAATTCATTTTCAATGTGCATGGAATATCGTGCATGAAACAAAATCACAATCAGTAATTGCTATACATTGACTTTGATCTTTAGATTCTTTGATTAGATGAATTGAGAAAATGTATGCACAAAAATTGATCTTTGATTAGCTTACAATCTAATCTGTTAATCAAAGAAAGTGACAGATGGAATATCGCGTTTTGAACAAGATATAAACAATTTTGAATGCAACGTTATGATTTTTGTTCTTAAAAATGCATGTGCCATATTGTAGCATATGATGAACAACATCTATCAAGAATTTTTGGATGATCTTTTTTTTTCCTTAACTTGATGATATCTTGATCTATGCAAAAGATGAAAAAGATCACAAAAGAAACGTTGGATTGGTATTTGAAAAGTTGGGGAATACTAGAATTAACACCAAGCTAGAAAATTGAATATTTTTATTAACAATTGAATTTTTAGGTTATATAATCTTTAAAAATAATTATTCATGTATCATAAAAATATTGAGATGATTCTTGAATGGAAGAAAATAGTAACAATTTGAGATTTTTTTTGTTTTTTCAAAATTGCAAATTTCTATCAAATCTTCAATACTTCCTATTTCAAGATTGATCTTTCACTAGCACAACTCACTTGAATGAAGTACAACAATCAATCATAAAACCCTGAAGTCAGCATTTACAACTACGTCTATCTTGACTCATCTTGATTTTCAAAAGAAACTCTTTCTCAAAATCAATTATTTTTCTTGACTTCTCTCACAATGGTATGAAAACAAATTCCTCCATCATGTCGCATTTCATTTGTAAAAATTCATGACCAAAAAGATCAACTTCAAGATTTACAATAAAAAGCTTTTAGCCATTTTTGATTCATTCAAAAAATAATAACATTTTCTTGAAGGAATTCAAAATTTGATTATGATTCACAGATCACAAAAATCTTAAATACTTCATAGTCAAAGTGTTGGATGAGCAACAAGCACGTTGGAGCATATTGCTATGTAGTTTTAACTTTGTCATCACATATCAATTTGATTTGCAACAAATTTGCTCTGATGTCTTATCAAGAAGAGCTTATCTTGCGCCAAAATAATAAGATGCAGCGTACTTATGCTATAAATTACAGGCATTGTAACTTTGATGGGTACACCATTTTTCCAAGATATATGCTTAAATCTACGCTCTGATTCGTTGTTTTTGAAATTCAAAAGCAATTTTGAATTTTTTGCTTTGATAGATGTCAAAGCCATAAACTCTCACATTTTTTATTTAAAGATTATACATTAAAAAATTTTAAATCAAAATACTATTTGTACACATGAAGATGAAACACTTTGAGGTAATATAATCCAAGATTCTTGTTCAAGTATGAGCTTCTCTACAACCAAGGAATACTATATGTTCCTTAACATCCATGTTCCTTCACATGCTTTAGTCTTGACACGACTTTCTGTCAACGGTATATTTTGGCTTTAACAAGACCATGAAACAAATTTCAAGAAATTTTGATAGTTGTAAGAACGTCACAGATTTTGATGGCCGTGAAAGTAGGTTACAGAAGTAACATATTGTGACATATGTTTAGATTCATAATTCCTTGTCATCGTCCATATGAGTTATTACACACACTTTATGTTTTAAGAAAACCATTATCTTTCATATCCATAAATTTTATTATGAAACTACAAAATTTCGAATCTTTAACTTAAAATTTTTTTTGTAATGGATTGTTTCACAGAGACAACATATTTTTTGACTTGCAAAAAGACTATCACAACTGAAAAAATAACGTGATTTTTTATAAATATAATGAATTTTTCAAAGAAATCATCACTAATTGTGTTACATTATTGACATTCAAAATCCATTTATGATCTTACAAATGAAGATCAGTCTATCATATCAGTCTACTAGCGGATCATCTTTAGACAAATGTACAAACTAAACAACTAAATCAAATGTTGGAGTAGTATGTAAGATGATTCATCAACTATCATTGAGACAATTGGTTGATATCACTTTCATTCGCAGATTTTGTCTAAAATAATACATTTTAGTAGTACATTCATCATACTTACTTCTTTGCAAAACATGCTATTCATCCAAAATTTTACTCTTTGAACTTAGCTTGGAAGAGAATTTGATTTGTCACCAAACTTTTAAAAAATTGCAAAGACATGAAATCAAGTCTTATAGAAGCTCAAGAGTCATAAGATTCATGAAGACAAATCTCAAACATCTCGGTTGGAGATAAAGTCTAGCTTTTGCGATGCAATTTGAATATTCGCCAATCTAGCAACAAATTTGATTATCGTAGTCTTAATATGTTCTCGTGACTGAATAGATCAACAAGATAACATAGAGGTTGGACCTGCCATACTCTATGAAATTTCATCAAATGTTTCATATCAATTCGCTTTGGTTAGATAGAACATTGACTATTATAGTATGAATGCTAACATCTCTCTCATCATTCATAATTAAAAAAAAAAAAATTTGAAGTTTTTGAGATGCTTGAATCTTGCATCAATAAAAAAACACTCCCAATATGATCAAATTTTTTTAGCGTTATATATTGACAACAAAATATCCAACAAAACCAAGTGCGAAAGATGTTTGAATCCAACAAGTATGGATCAACATTAACATAAAATCAAACTTTAGCACTTTGACTGTAACATGGATATCTTGTAATGGATTTTTTGATATGTTTTTGATAAGATAAATAGAATAATTGATGAAAATTGTTGCTTGAAGGGAGTGATGTCATGGACGGGATATACAAAACAATCATATGAGTACTAGTAGTGGTGGCTTGACAATCAAGCCACCTCTTTCAAACGACTTGGAATCCTAATAGAGGTGACTTAGTCTCGCTTGGAGTATATTTAGAGAGTTTCCATACATTGTTACTCACTCTTGTCAACATCAATTGTATAATGTTCTTGCGTTCATAAATCAGATTATTTTTTTTTCACTTTTGAATATACTTCAACCTTGTTTGCATTTTAATTTGAGGTAATTTTTCAATTTTGATCTATATTCCGAGAGTTGTGTTCGCAAAATCAAAGCCATTGAAAGATATGATTGATACCTTGTGTGAATCACACAAGGTATCATGGAGAGATCTTTCAAATCATGAGCTCAACCCTTAGAGGAGTGAAGCTTTATACATGAA